TTATATAAAATATTAAATTTTTTTATTTTAAATTTTTTTAAATTGATTTAAATTAACCTGAATCACCCTGTATAATTCAAGACCCGACGTCTTAACCAGATGAAACTCCACGTCGGGTTTAACAATATCTGTGTACAACACCTCTCAGAGTATCGCTTATGTTTTACTATTGTGCATGGTTCTACCATGCTTAAATGAGTTCATACTGTTTTCTTTCAAGAACTAGTCATATAAATATCATTGCCCGGCAGGAGATGAATTCATGGATTCCCAGCATGATTTCTGAGGGGTAAATTGATTAAGGTGATGTCAACCTGCACACTGCAGATTTGCGATAAAAGTCGAATGATGATCGAAGCTTGGCAAGGTTAAAAACATGCTTGAACAAACAGGTACATTGCATCCACTACAATGACGAGATTTCCGAGGAGATGGGATGGACTTCTCGGAGGAACAAGAACTGGTTTTCAGAATCAATATACATCAGAACCCTCGGAAATATAGAAGTAGCAGAAACTGAGTGCAAAGAGGTAAAGTTTGCTTGACTAAACGAATACCTACTTCCACCACCCTGCTCAACAAAATCACAGGAATCTGCCCAGACTTTGCACGATGAAGAATAAAACGAGAGGGAAATTTGTGAGCTGTAGATAGAGATAAAGAGCTGTAAGCTGCCATTTTTCCCCAAAACTGAAGTTGCTTATAGAACATGCGGCAAATGCATTATGCTATAATTATACAAAGACGCGTGTCTCCTCCGAAACGTTGAAATGTGATATGATTTGTGAGAACGGAATAAATATTTCAATATAATTAAGCAGCTGAAATGCATACTCCTCGAGTACATTATTTTTCTTCATGGCCTGGCAGTGCCCAACCTTAACTTCTTTAATTGCAAGCCTTATTAAAATCACAAAGCTGCTCAAAGACCACTAAAGAAAAAGATCGATGGATAAAAAGAAAGACAAAAAAAGAAGAGAACAAAACATCTAAGGATTTGATTAACAAAAAATAATCAAAATCCTTGTCAAGCTAGCCACTCCCCATCAATTCCTTCAATTTCTCCAATGTCCATGCTGTACATCCAAAACCAAACAAAAACATATAATTAGTGAACTCATCAGTCACCAACAGCTTTTGGACATGTGTGGAATAAAATAAACTTTCTTTCAGCACATAACAACTAGATGGTTAATCCCCAAAACGAAGGAATAATCTTAATCAATAAATAAATAAAATTTGAGAAAAACTTCTGCAGCCTGATTGAATTAATGCAAGCCTATAAAGTAAAGCCCGTGATCATCTCCTTGATTAGGTTCAGAGGTCCCTCGCAAGCCATAAATTTTAAAGAAGATAAGAAGAGAGAGAGCATAAACTGCAAGTGTTTATTGCTGCAAATCTGAACCCACACTGATCAACCTCTTAGCTAATCCATGTATAATTCAGCGTTCTAGCAAGCATTTATTGATCTAAAACCATATTCAGATGATGAAATTCGTTGTCTCATGATAAGAAAATCATACTGTGGCACAACAGGTATGAAACATAAAACATTTTCCTCATTATTTATTTATTTACCATGCATCTTTTAATTATTTATTAAAATTTTGGGTTCTTACCAAGGCAAGGCAGCATCATGGAAATAGTCTTGGGAGAAGTGATCGTTGAAATGTTGTTGATCATTTGCATTCAACCAGGCTGGGAATTCCATGACCTGTTCAAATGGGTGGCAGCCATCATCCTCTGTCTTCACTCCAGGATCAAGCTCCAAGGTCTTCATGAACTTGAACCACCGAGCTGATGTGACCAAATTCATAGTATCATTCCATTCCATTTGATGTTGTTCTCCTATTGATCTGATCTCTGCCATCTCCTCATCATCCATTACTTGATGTAAGCCGGCTCCACTATATGAGTCAGCTACATCAAATGCTGCAGGTGGCATTCCTTCGCATGTATTTGAAACTGAAGGAATCTCCTCGGTGGCAATGAAAGGAGAAGGGAAAGAAGAAGATGATGGAGATGAGGAGGAGTAAACTGATGGTGGGTTGTCGCTGCTGTAATAAAGAGTGGTATCTATGTTGTTAAAATCATGAAAATTGAGGTTTAGACCTAAGGTTTGGTTTGGAAGGGGAAAATTGATATTTTCAGCGGCAGTTGGGTCAATAATTGAAGAACTAGGCCAGGAAAAGGGATATGAAGGAGGACAGGGAGGAGGAGGAGGAGTGAAAGGTGCATAGGAAAAGTTGTCGAGATAATTAGAAAAATCGGTAGAGTTTGATGGGTATATTCTTGGATTTCTCCTAGATTTTATTTTTCCTTCCTGTTCAAAACAAGGAGGGGCTAAAAGCTGCACAGGCAGCGATGATTGTTGCTGCTGCTTCTGCTGCTGTTCTTGTTCTTGTTGATTTTTCTGTTCTTGATGTTGTTCGTTGGCTTGTTTCATAGCTGCCCTGTGAAACTTTAGGGCAGTGACAATCTCTCTTCTAGCCTCAGCCATATTAAGAAGCCTTTCTTGATAAGGCCTACTGGTGTGCAGTCTCCTCCTGACCTGTTTTTTGTGTGGTTGAGGTTCTTGGGGTTGCTGGCTCTTTTGGTTTTTACTTAAACCTTCGCTATAATCGGCCATATTTTTGCCAGAAAAACCATCACTATCAGCAGAGCCGTAGCCTTTGGGATTCATGGGATCTTTGGTTCTTGAAGTGGTTAACTGTTTCACAAGGCTACGTATATAAGCACCAGAGAGATGAGGCTCTTCCTTCATCTTCCTAAGTTTACCAGTTTCCATGCCCTCTTTAGTTTCTTGCTTAGAGGATCTACCCCTCATCTCTCTCTCTCTCTCTCTGTCCTTGTCTCTCTCTTTCCTTTTCAACTTAGGAATATAGGAAGAAAGTGCGGGTCGGAAGAATCGTAAGGATTTTTTTTCAATATTCTGAGTCTGAGGGACAAAAGTACACAACGCAGAGAAAGGCAGAGGCTGATCCGGAGAACTAGTCCGGAAGGCCTCATGGGTGTTATAAATACTAGGTCGATGACAGTCTAGGGTTTTAAAAAAGTTTTGGATTTTTCCCTGATTTAGCAAACCACATTTCTTACCATTTTAATACCCGCCATAAATGAGCAATTAGGGTGTTGCTTTCCTAGACTACCCTTAACCAAACTACAAAAACTCCGCCTCCTGGAGTGAAAACGCCTCCTTTCACCATCCAAAAGGAAACAGCACCACCATCTTCAAGCTCAGAATATCAGTACTGAGGAGAATCCTATAATCCTAGCTAGCGTTTTGTGTTATATCAATAGTTAAAGGGATCAAGAAAAGCCACAGACGTATCGAATTCGATAAAAATACAACTTTACAAGAACATATTGATACTGACAAAAAACAAGGAATATAACTTCAATAAACCAAACTTGTAAAGCAAACACCCTAAGAATCTCCATATCTTTTTGGAAAAAAAGTTGGTGGTGCACAAATATTAATTTTTTTTCAAAAAAAAAAGAAGCTCTAACTATGAATGGGTAGAAATGTAAATGTCAATGCTTGAGACTTTTGCATGTCTCATGCATGACATGGTCATCACCAACATCATCTTATTTTGGGCCAAGACACAAAAAGCTACATTCAAATTAACCTAAGTTTTTTACTACTCCTCTCATTTTTTTAATTCACTTAACATTTGTTCAAGTATCTGTTTTTCAATCAATAGTTATTTCTAATTGACCTGTCACTAATAATCACTAAATACATAATGAGTCACAACTCACAATATCTCCATCAATTAATTATCATGCAACTTATATCCCGATATTAACTACTATAATCAAGATCTATAAAATACTTGGGTCACAGATAAATAGGAAAGCAGACAGGTAACAAGCTCTCATACGTACTCAATAATTCTTGTTTATATTTTCTTTCAATTATTTAAAAGGCCGTGAGTCTTATGTTCAATATAAAACTTGTTTTTTCATGAAACACCAAGCTAATATTCAAGACCGCACATACTTGTTCAGAATCACAACCTATAAAAAACATAATTTCTATGTAAAGTTTTTTCAAGGTTACGAGAAGTGTTCCAAAGCTTTAGATTATCTTTCAGAAAGGCGTGACAATATCCAATGATTGAACTAAAACATTCAGAGGTTGAAGAAAGAAAGTTATCATCATGTAAAGTACATACGAAGTGATTCCCATGTAGAAGATAGGAAATTCATTAAAGATGGATTCTTGGATTGATTGAGAAGCAGGGTTTTTTTTTTTTTGTAATTGAGAGGTTCTTTAGATTACGACTTCCTGTTTTGCTAGTGACTATTCATGGGTAGAGGACGGCATTTTAGGCATGATGAAAGGGTATTCTGGTATCTTGCCTGCAAGTACCATGGGACCAGACTCATGAAACGTCAGCGAAAGCCTATGTAAAGACTGACAGAAGAATCTCCATTACTGTTGTAACCTTCTCTTTTCAATTTCTTTTTTTAAGAGGAAGAAAAAAAAGAAAAGAGGAGAGAAAATTCCAAATCTTCTGTTCAAAACAAATTGCTCAACATGATTTCAGTCTGTTCATTTGAAACAGAGAACTTGGACCTTTTGCAAAGGCATTCCACAGCATGTTAAAGACAGAAATGCTCCATACCATCCTCTTTCTCTACTTTTTATATTATTTCCGTTTCTTGCCATCTTTTTCACTGCATATATTTTCACTTCAAGTTTTCACACTCTAATTGGAGGTGGCAGACCCAGAGGCATGGCTCTGTCTTTTAGCAGAGTTTTCAGGCAGCAATAACAGTGAAAATAAAGCCTAGAGAAAAGAATTTATTGCTGCTATAAATATAAAGAGATCAGCCCCTAGTCACCTACTGCTCTGGAAGGAGAAAGCAGAGTTATGCTTAGAACTAATATCTAAATTTTATATTCAAACTTGCAACTGACACTGTTTTTTCACAAGGATCAATTGTTGTGCATGCAGGGAGCAAAATACATCTTTTTAACATGCGATTTTAAGCCTAGATTATGCAGTCCTAGCTCATTTGTACTGTGATTTGCAAACTGTTACATGCTCACCGCACAACTGAAGCAGCCACTCCTTTCCCTTTAGTCCGTAACCGCTCTTGATAGCTCGTGAGAGATTCTCTTTTAATCCTAAGAAACCCCGAGATTAATTGCTGTATGTTTACTACAGGACAAAGCCAAATGGCTTGCAGTAGCCTAATTTTGTTCATTGTTTATCTCTAACTTCTTCCAGAATGAGATCTATCTATGTCTGTAAGCATGGAAATATCAACTGCACCTTGAAATTGACTAAAAACTACATCTAATCCTCTCACTATTCGTTCACAGAGATGTTTTCTAAACTCTTGGATTGCTACGACTTTCTACACAGCAAAGCCAAATGGCTTGTGTGCTTTGTTTCTGTTCAATGTTCATCTTCAAATTCTTCCAAATTGGGTCTAGTGTGTATGAAAATGGGCTATCACTGCCCCTTGCAACTGAACAATCCATATCTAATTTCTTTCTCGTCGGATGCCCCGATCTCATGAGAAAAGATCAACCTTAGGAGCCTTACCACCAGCCCCACTATTTGACTCCCTATATATGACAAATTGTGAGCTAAGGGAACCATTTTCATGAAAGTAAAAGCCAGATTGAATGGCTTCATGACTTATATTCAAATCCCAACAAAACCCTAAATCCAGCCAATTAAGATTAAAGCCAGGATTTATGGACACAGCTAACAAGATTTAGTCTTTCAACAACCAAAAAAAAAACAATATTAAGTCATCAGTAAAAAAAAAAGAAGAAGAAGAAGCCAAGCTCAGTAGGAGATAAATGGTGACGTAAAAAAATAAATTGAAGTAAAGACAGAGAGAGAAAAGCATTCAAGTTGCAATGTGTATCTATGAGCTTAACTTACATATCTCTGAACATGCAGAAATAGGATAAAATTCTAGAATATAATAAAATAATAGAAATGACAACAAGTAGATATATACGAAAGAGGGAAGGAGAAAGAGAAACAGGCCTCTTCTTTTTTGTATATCAGTGGATAAAGATTGGCATATGACATTGCTGCTTTGTTTCTGAAAATCTCGTGGCCGAAAAAAAATGGAAAACAGCTCCCAGTAGTCCACCAATCCCTTCACGCACAGTTGGCTTCAACGAATCACATTTACACACACAACCACGTCTCAATACTTCCAATTAAAACACTGCATACCCCCGTTACATTACCCCCATTAGGCCATTATAGACACTCCCTTCTCTCTCCCTCTCTCTCTCTCCCCATTTCTTGTGACTGTAACTTCACCTTGGATTCCATTCACACCAGACCACCACTGTGTTTGAAATATTGAAGAAATGTCTTTACCCCTTAATTTTATCTTTTTAATTTTTCATGGGATAATATCATCCAACTTTTCGCTTTCCCTGTTGTATTAATTGACTTCATCGGAATTTGCAGGCCTGTTGGCTTTTCCTTCATGTATAATTTACCCCACAAGAATTAGAGTTACCGATTCCTTTTCACCACAAAATCAAAGAGGGAGACTGCTGAAATCAGGCGGGAGCAGTAATTCCTGGGACCCTTTCAGTTTATTGACCTGACTAATAAAAGTTAAGGGTATTCTTCTACAAACTTTTTTTCTTTCTTTCTTTAAAGGCATTGAGATCAACGGGATTTCCATGGAATATTTTATATTCGAAATTGAATGATAACATAAGGTATAAATTCACTTATTAATTATCATAGCCTCCGACACTAAAATCTGTGTATTCAAAAGAAATGTTTTACTTGTAAAAATAATCACTTTGAAAATGATGCATACACATGTGGATTTGGAAAAGTACGGGCTCGAACTCTATAATGCTCAGCTACATATTGAGCTCAAGAACGTGTGGATCTAATAAGATATCAAACTTAACTCTTCAAGATTCAGTCACATGCTTAGCCCAAATATTTATAAATCTAGCAAAATGTCAAACACAATTCCTCTAAACTCAGTCGCAAGTTATCGCTTGTAAATTTAATCAAATGTTAGACTTAATTCCCTTGAGCTCTGTCACGAGCTGAACCTAAGTATTTGTGGGTTTAGCAAAATATCAAACATATCTTTTAAGGCTTAGCTGCATATAACCTAACTAACGGATTTTGATAATTTTTTAAATGCTTGACTTTCCACCAAGAACAGCCTTTATAAATTACCTCTTCTAATGTGCTAGGGAGGGAAAATTAAAAGGTTACATCTAAAAGTCAAATAGGTAAAAATATCCTTGAACTCCTCAACATCATCCCTAGTGAAAGGCCTAGTTGTTGTTCTTTAATGGATAAGACAAGAGACAAAAGGTTGGGGCTGAGAAAATACTATCACAGGAACCTTTATAGATAAGGCTAAAACACAAGATTCTATCGAGGTAAAGTCTCTCATCCTTTTAAAATAAATAGCGACATAAAACCCCCATGAGCAAATGGCTCACCATCAATGATGGGAAAGTCCCTTATCACCTTTACACCTTTAACTCTACCAGCCACAGGAAACAAAGGTCTTCGGGGTAAACTCTTTTCTACAAGCCTTGTTGAATTTTCCCTTTCTTATTGACTTCATATTCAATTGAAGTTAAGGCCAATACAATACAATTTTTCTTCTCATCCGAGAAAAGACGAGGTTGCTTGCTTACTTCATGTAAAGGGACCTTTCAGTAATGTGAACAAGCTCAGATTAGTTGCAGCCCCTCTCTATAATTGATTGTCCGTATCTTACAACCAGCCAATTTCCCTTTCATTTCTTAACATGCATTATCTTCCCCAACAACATCCCTTATATGACACCAACGGGTCTATTAACGAATGTAAAAAACCAATGCATATTATTGCCACCAATTGATAGGATTTTCTGAATACATTAATGATTGGTTTAAGCCTAATGAACCTATGAAACTTTTAAAAGAAAAACAAAAAAATTTCATCCATTAGGATACAATTGGCTTGGATTCAACTAAAATTAATTGAACACCTCTCTTGTGAACCCTTGAAGGGGGAAAGAATACCCTCATTACATACATACAAATAGGGGATGGTAATTTCAAAGTAACTCTAGGTGGAACCTTAGGTCTATTGGCTGATATGCTCAACAAGGTCGGGCATCCATGCCTCATATTCTCCTGATTGGTGGCAAGCCACACATTCTACATCCTTACCGCATACATTGATGGGGATGTTGTCCTTGGAAGTCTAGGGCAACCTCCTTCTCTCTTAGGTATATCTAGCAGGGGTGGGAGAATAACTACTGTGAGAAAGGTTTCTGACCTCCCTACCAAAAAAGGATGTCAATATACCACTCTCTCTTGTCCTGGGACCTAGTCTGATAGGCCCTTATCCCTTAACACTTCTTTTAGGAACTCATTGGAACCTGAACTCCTCATCATAACAGGAGACCTCCCATTTTAGAAACAAAATTGATGTTTTTAGGTTTATTTGTTCTATTTAAAAAAATGATGTGGAAAAAGGTTTCAGTAATAAAAATGTATGAAGTGGGTTTTTCTTTTCTTGAACTAAAGCATAGATGATATGAGAGGTGTTTTACTAGAGTAGTTTTTCAAAAATCATAGAAAGCAAAAGTAAAAGCAAAGTCAAAGCAAGAACGACTAGGTTTATTTTGCTCCCTGACCAGTCAGAGATATTTTTCTTACATTTTAACCCATTGATATTTTTCTTACATTTTAACCCCTTCTCTTTGGAAAGAGATGAGCATCATAGGCTATAAAAGAGACTAGGATATCTCTCAAAGGCATGTTTAATTTTTCAATTAACTCTTAATTATATATTTATTCTAAAAATTCTTCTCTCAAATATGATTGTATATATTTTCTCTTAAACAATACTCATTTGAGCATTGTAGGGTCTCCCAAAATATATAGAAATAGACCTCTTACAGGTATCAAATATGATCCATCAATCATTTTAGTTAGAGAGAATCAATCAGATCATTAGAATAAGGAGATTAATCATTTATTTGATATATCAATTTATCTCATAACACCATTGAATAAATCTGAATCTTATCAATATTTGATATCAAAATAATGTATGCAATTATGATCATTTAGACCAATAAACTATAAATTAATTATATTAGTATCTTTCTCTTTTTATATAAGAAATAGTTATGATTGTTTAATCTTTTTGTTTCATGAACTACAAACACTCTTTAAATTTTATTTTATGAATGTTTTTATCCAAAAAATATGAACATATTTTAGCTGAATTTTTTTATATATATATAAGTATTTGAAATCTTAAATAAGATAATCGTTTGTGTTATAACCCAAATTTTGACCCATTTGCTTTTTAATATAATTTTAAGTGTTCTAAAGTTTGAAATTGAAAAAATTAGAGGTTTATATGCAAAATTTGAAAACTACAAGGACCAAATTGAGAAATGGTCAATTTCAGTCCCAAACGACATCGTTTTAACCATGCACAGTTTCTTCTTCTTTTTCTTCTTCTTCTTTGCAAACCCACCTGTAAAGAAGAGCAAAAATATGAATTGACAGCATCCCAATCTTGCTAAAATACAAAGACTAATCCCTATCCTCATGAAGATAAATGCCCCGGAGAGATAAGGATTGAGCTCAGATATTCAAATCCTAATGAAACACCAATGCATCCCTCCCAGTTGTGCTTATCCAAAGGCAAGCCGTGCGCAAAGAAAAGACCAGGCACGTCCCCTATAAATACAGAGCTCTGAGTAGAAAAGAAGGAGGAGCAAACAGGGAAAAAAAATAAAGAGAGAGAACACAAGCAAAAACAAGACAAAAAAACCTGGAAAAACCAAGAAAATGAAAGCCACACACAGAGCAAAAAACCAGACCCAAATTTGAAAGGAGAAGTTCTTCATCATAAAGACTAAGCAAGTAGAGAAAAACAAAAAAGAACAGCAGATGAACAGAAGAGGAAAGTAGAGGAGAGTAGAGAGTAAGTAAAAAAACAACAAAATAGAAACACAAGAACAGAGAGGAAGAGACTGAGAGGAGGAGGAAGAAAGAATACTCTAGGAGTGCTTGAACTGTTGTTGTCACCTGCGCCTTCGAATTGCCAAGTAAGGCTTTCCTGTTATCTTCATTTCTGCGCGTTTTAATTTAAGAGAAGAAAACAAGATGAAGGTAATTTAATTACCTTTGCCCTGTATAGCACACGCGTGGTTTGAACCATGCATGCCTACAACCTAACTAGGTCACTGGCTTGGGCCAATAGCTGGGCCGAGCCGGCTAGGTGCAGCTCAGCCCCCATAGGTTGAGTTGGGCCTAACCTAAAAAGTATAAAAAAATAAAAAATAAAAAATATGTGTATGTATGGATAAAGATAATATAAATTAATTTTATTGGTTTATTCACTGACGTCAGAGTCATGAATACAAATACTAATTTAAATTTATTTTTATTGTATTTTATTTCATTTAGCTAAAATAAAAAAAAATAAAAAATATGTGCATGCATGGATAAAAATAATATAAACTGATTTTATTGGTTTATTCACCAATGCCAGAGTCAGAAATAAAAATACTGATTTAAATTTATTTTTATTGTATTTTATTTCATTTAGCTAAAATAAAAAAATATATGTCCATGTGAAAAATAAATTTATTTTATTTTTTTATTCACTGATGCTAGAGTCAGGGATAAAAATATTGATCTAAATTTATTTTATCGCTACGTAATATTTACCAACGCTAGAGTTGGAAGTATTCGTAGTTGAATATTCACTAACTCTAATTCACTGACGTCAGAGTCAAGAATATTATAAGAAAATTATCATAACATAAACTAATAAACATTTAGCAATTTAAGATAAAACTAGCAATGCAGTCTGTCTTAAACAGAACATTTAAGAGATGATAATATTTTTCCTTTTACATAACTAATTTCAAATCATAGAATTTTTATTGACTAGTTAGATTTTTTAGTGACTATAATATTAAATAATATTTTTTTAAAATAAAATATTTTTCTCATAAAAACAAGATATGAAAAAAAAAATTTCAATCAAAATTATAATTTTTAATGTCACCATAGCGTCCGAGTTACACGGAGGGGCATGGTGAATCGAGGTTTCCAACTGTGAGTCGCAAGGTCAAAATGGGTGGGTAATTTCCTCCCCCAATCGTTTAACAAGGGTTTGAAGATTGGGGGTGGGACCGCCTGCAAAGCCACAGACGGACATGATGTGACGGGTCATAATCAAACGGCTCATTTCCACTTGAGATGGTGCTGTCTGCTGACAGTAATTGCCACGTGGGCAAACCTTTAAGGCTCCAATCAAAATCAACCTGCCACGTGGGAACCTCGGATAGGAACAATTAGGAGGCAGCAGTTGTTCCTGTCCACCGCCGAAAAAAGCCTGCCACCCTTCAATCAATATCCCCATTATACATTACTCTTCTCTTCGAGTCTTCTTACACCCCAAAAAATTAAAAAAAAAAAAAAAAAAAAACTCCACACATACATGGCACAGCCATACAAGAACTATTGTCGGCGCACATGTAATGTCTTGGTGCTTTATTTTGGAGGAGTTTTCACGCTAGGAAAATAAGATATTTTCTCAATACATAGAAAAAACGTTTGTTTATACGGTTTTTCTTAAAATATATTATGAATAATAAATCCATTAATCAGTTAGGGCAGTCCTTCCTAAGGGTAAATGCAATGTCCTTCTTTGCGACATCTCTTGTGGTCTTAGCCATAAAGATGGTCAAAGACTGGCAATGGACACCCGTGTACCTCAGCTAGCTAGGTGCTTCAAATTCGATTTGACTTTAGCTTTCAAAATAAAGAAGTATTCAATTCTTCAACTTCCTTGCGACAACAATATTATGATCTGGTAATATTAAATTCATATCATTTATTGAGATTCAATTAGCCAAGATAGGAGAAGGGTCCCTGGGCCTGAGAGGATCCCTACGTGTTTGCAGCCCCTTACTGTGTTTCCCTCTTCAAAATGTAAGGTCATTTTCCGCTGTTAGTGGGGGTGGCTGCAGGGCCATTATTTTTTCAATCTGCACCACCAACACCGAACACTACGTACCATGCATACAGCACGCAAATTCTTGATAGAGATGCGATATCACAGGCTATTTTTCTAGAAGACGGTGAGAGGGGACGTAGCATCGAAGGATCCCAGGCTCACTGTGGTTTTGGTTTTGATTCTTTGAATGACAAGTCGCGACCAATACAAACCCAGGAAAACCAATCTTTCCATTCTCTGTGACTGCTCTCTCTACCCCACATCTCCCCTCCCCTTAACAAGGCGAGGCATGCAACCGGCAAATGGACCGTGACCCACAACAAGGAAGAGGCTAGTGCAATATATATGGTCCATTTCCCTTTGTTTTATTATGCAGGTTTTACTCCCACTGTAGTGAAGTTGCTGTTATTTCTTTTTTGTGGCGTTGTGGGATGGTACGTAGCATAATGTCCTTAATTAATTCACTTGAATGCTAGCACATGATAGTAGTTGTAGGTGGCATGCATGCAACTGGTAGCAGAGAGGAGAGGGGGTGCGTTGCAATTTGCTATGGATGCATTCAAAGAAACAATGGGCTGTCCATGACCGATTACTTCCCGCGGTTCCTAGTTGTAAATCTCTACCAGAATTTGTCACGGCTAGCTAGCCTTGAGCTTCTTCAGCTGTAATGTTTTTTCCATGTAAATATATTGTAATAAAGATTGAAAAACGGTAACCAGGATCTTGTGATATTCCCTGCTATATATCACCACCAAAATCTCGATCCTTTTCTACTCTTTCAAACGGAGGATGCATATGATATGGCTATGGTGTTTTGGTCTATGGCTACTTTCTCCTAATTTCAGGATAAACATTAGAGCAGGATCTGTGCCATAAATTCAAGCCACCAAGCGACAAAGATGAGGTCGCTCGGGGATTATCTTTACACGTGCACTTGTTTTTACATTCAATGAACATTTTTTCTGTTTAGATGATCAGTTTTCCAACGAGACAAAGAACTGATCATGATCTCCTTTTCAAGCTTGGCACGCAAGTGTGTTATCAAAATGCAATGCACAAACACGCCCAGATTATTATCCCCATCCAGTTGACTACAGGCTTCTTTTTATAGAAAATAAATAAATTCTATATTATTTTGTTATAAACTGTCTAATCAAAGGTCTCAACACCATTAAATTTTTGAACATCGTGTTTTGCAATGAGAGTTTTTACCAAAAGGCTCTGTACATGTTTGTCTAAATGAGGATTTAAGGTTGGGGGTTTAAGGTTCCCCCCAGCCATTTCATTTTTGGCGGTTGTAAAATAAAACTATCTTTTTAAATTGCGGTAATAACTTTTTAAAAAAGTATTTTTTTCAAAATATATTAAAACAATATTTCTAATGTTTTAAAATTTATTTCTAACATCAGCTAAAAACACATAAAAAATTAATTTAAAACAAAAAAAAATACCTTTTAAAAAAAAAAAAAAACAGATATTCTCAATGGTGTCATGATCATATGTGATTCTAAAGAATGCAAATAACGGTCTTTAATTTACAAATGTTTTTCTTTGAATAGAGAGATTGCATGACAATGGTAAAACTTCAAGTACAATCTTTAATTCTATATCTATGTGCATGAAACCTTTTGTAGAAGAGAAGCTTTGAGTAAGATTTTAGGTTAATGTTTTACGTAAAATAAGAAGGGGACAATGTTATCAATGCTTTTTTTTCTTTTTATATCATAAAAAATCTTAATTAATGAATACATAGATGCTGTGTGTATTTAATAAAATAGATTAAAAATTATAAAAATTGATAAATCAAAGAAAAAAGTTTAACATTGATTAAAAACTTGAGTAGCTAGGAAGTTGATTATTTATTTATAAGAAGTAAAAAACGGATGCACATACAAATATTTTATTTTGGCCATCCTTTTTATCTTGCAATTTTATGTTATTTTTATCTTCTAGGTTAACCCAAATCGCTAAGCTCATATGATTTTTGTTCTTGTAAATAAACAATGCAAATACAATTTATCTATCTAAAGTATAAGGTGAGTTTTTTTTAAGATAAATTAAAATAATATTTTTGAAGTATTATAAAATTATAGCAACAATCCAAAGTATTAATTAATTTAAAAAATCAAACAAAATAATTTATGAATAAAAGAGAAGGTATTAATTAAAAAATTAAAAATAAAAAAAAATAAAAAAAAAAAATAGCCAAGTGTTACTAATATTGGCAAGTCATGCCTATGCGCTTGGCATATAAGAAAAACGAGTGGGCCTTACTTTTTATTTTAAAGCAGGTGGTTCGTTGTGTTTTTTTTTTTAACAAATAACATGTTATTTAGCATGAAAAAAAATATATTATTTATGTTTTTATTATTTTTTTCATCATAATTGATTGAAAAATTATCCAAAAATTTATTTTTAATTTATTTATGTTTAAAAACAACAAAAAAACATTTTAGAAATCTCAATAAACATATTTTAAAGTCTAAAATTTCTTCTAATCAGCCTAAAAACCTAAAATCAAACTTAATTAAAAATAAATTATCGGGTTTTAATTTACTTTTTCTGATATGTTTAAATAATAAAATTACCTTTATTAAATTTTTCTTTTTAAAAAGAAATCAACAACAAGTTAAACTATTTTAATGATCAACCAATAACTTCTCTCTCGTCATTTTTTTTCAACAACTTTATCTTACCTTCCTCAACATTTAGGGAGTGAATGTGAGAAAATAAAATTTTATATTGAAATAAAAAAATTATAAAATAATAAGGATCAAATATATATAATTCAAAATTTTAAAGGAGAAACTTAATTTTTCATGCTTTTTAAAAAAAAAAAACTTTTTTTATAAGTGCTAATTTTGGCCCTTGTTCTTTCCATTGTTTTTTATGATAAAATTAAATTATATTTTGTGAAATAAATCATTAGTTTAAAGTTAAAATATCCTATAAGACACCAACATGCGAGAGAATATAAATAGAAATACATATTAACACATAAAACCATGACAATAAAATTTACAAGGATGAAATTTATTTTATTTTTTTAAATAAGTACAATGACAATAAAATTTACAAGGATGAAATTTTTTTAAAAAAAAAAAAATAAGTACGATATTAACCAATAAATAAATAAGTAAAAATCTCAAGAACTAGGAAGGAAAACGTTGGTTATGAAGGGTGAGAGGATCATCAATTAATTTTGCTTGCTTTTTTGTTCCATATCGGTCTAACATCGACGGATTCGCTTCTATATTTTGTAAATATTTAATTTAATATTTAGGTGGGTAAAGGAGGCATAGTTTAGAGAGTTCTTACCTCCAAGTTTCATCAGACTAGAGGATTAACAACATTGATGTATCTTAGCACAATGTGCATAAACATTTATTGCTCTACTGCTTCTCTATATTTCATAAATGACACAAATCGTCCAATCTCTATCACCTCTTGATTGCAGTAACAATATTATTTATGATAGATTATTTATATTTTCAGATAATAATTTTTTTTATTTTTCAGTAGTTTATATATGTTTATAAAATAAATAAAATATTGTGATATATAATTTACCTTATAGAAAAAACTGAAACGACAAGGGACTAGATCTTAGATAACTTGGGTGCCTATCTAAAGGTGATCTAAGTTGTTTATGCGCAAACTATATATCTAAAAAGTAAATAGAAATATTGTAACCCCTAAATAAGAATTAATACAATTTGAAAAATATTGGAAAAATAATATAGGTTAAATTTTTTTGACCAATATACCTAGAGGTTTGCTCTAAATAAACTATGAGGTCTATATATGTTGAGCGGTAAATCATAGAGATTTATAATTAAACTAGGGGGAGCTTGCATTGCTTTGAGCAAAGTACTTGTATGACCAAAAATATTGGAAAAATAATATAGGTTAAATTTTTTTGACCAATATACCTAGAGGTTTGCTCTAAATAAACTATGAGGTCTATATATGTTGAGCGGTAAATCATAGAGATTTATAATTAAACTAGGGGGAGCTTTCATTGCATTGCTTTGAGCAAAGTACTTGTAAGACTAAAAAATATTAAATTACATGGAAAAAGAAGCAATTAAATCAATTGAAAAAGCTTGTAAACAAGGCAATAAATAAAACTGTAAAGAAAGCAAGTAAATTACACAAAAAGAAAAGCATGGCAATAAAGTGCTGAGGACAATAAACTTATAAATTGTAAGAAAAATAAATAGCTAGAAACCTGAGAAAGTTTGTCTTAAAATTGCTATATCAGGGCAGCAGGCCGAAGAAAATACAAAAAGGACAGTCCCATATTTATACTATAATAGGACCTAAGATCTACTTGTAATAAAAGCAAGAAGAAAGGACAGATTATAAGTGAGGTTTTGGTCTAATGGTGAGGGTCTCCTTCTTTCATATTTGGGTTCGAACCTCATCATGCATGCTTGTTACTCTCGTGGTGCCTTACCTGCTCACTGGGCTTGCAGGATGTTCAGTGGGCCGTGTGGATTAGTCGTGGTGCGCGTAAGCTGGCCCGGACACCCCATGTAAATCAAAAAAAAAAAGGACAGATTTAGGGATTACTAAAAGTAGAAAAATGTTAATGTGAAGTAATTGATTTTGATTGTTTTAAAAATTATGTTTTAAAGTGTTTTTTTAAATGCATTAAATTATGTTTTAAAGTGTTTTTTTAAATGTATTAAAATAATTTTAAATTTTAAACAAATAATGTTTTAGCCGCAATGTGAAACACGCATGAATGAGAGAAGAAAACAATAACTCTAAATAAAACAGGATTTTTGAATCCTTTACAAAGACGAAATAGATAGATCTTAAACTAGAAAATTCATGCAAAATGACTGTGTTATCGTTGAAAAAGTTCCTGCAAAAGTACTGTCCATAATTTAAAATGTTTATTTTACGTGTAAGGAGTGGGCTAATAACACCCTTCATTGTAAGAACATCATTCATTCATTCATTTACCCTAGATTTTTTGAACAATTAGAACATCATTCATTCATTCATTTACCCTATATTTTTTGAACAATCATCGGCTCCGAATGAATGATGAAAAAGCATGATTTGAAGGGAATAATAATAGAAGCGGCCTGTTCCCATCCTTGGCAAGGCACCAAATTCTGTTTTATGGATCGATCGTCAGCCATTCAGCCAATTCCTTCGTGAGCTAAATTTGGAATTATCTTTAATTTATTCATTCAAGTGCAAGCCAGGACTACTTTGAACTTAGCTCATAAGGAGACGGCCAGCATGGGAGTGACCGCCCAACTCCTAGGCCCTAAGACAAAAAACCTATGTTGGAATCATCAGCTCTTCCTCTAATGTCCAGGCAGCTAGTTCGTATAAATTCCCTATATATACATGAAGTAACTTCAAACTTGAGCAACTCACTTTCTTGTTTAAAATTATTTTTCCGTTTTTGGGGTTGCAACTGCTGAACAGCACACATGGCCAGCTTCCTTGCAGCCCCTGCATGTCCACTGGTTGCCCTGCCCACCACTACCAGGGCCAGTTTCACCACCGTTCAGCAAAAAAGCTTCTCTGTCAATGTTAGTGACACTCCCATTTCTAATTATGTTACAAAAGGTGCAGTAATTATACATTTTTTGTTTGTTGATAAATATGTAATGCAAACAGTATTCCTAATGCAGGGAGGCCCTTTATTTTTGGGGGTAAAACATGCCCAGAATATTCAATTCTCAAAGGCAGCTAGCATTTCCTCTACCAGGTGGAGATGCTTCAAGGCCACAATTTCATGCTCTGTGAGAAATTCAGTTCCTCATCCCCTGCCCTTTTCTTTTCTTTTTTTTTGCTTTATAAATGTCATTTTGTGAAGCTTACAAAGTGAAATGTTTAAATGACTAGGCTCAACCCGAAACCCTGGAAACCGTCCAAAGCACCATTGCTAAGCAATTGTCTGTTGAAGTCAGCACAGTAACTCCTGAAACCAAGTTTGCTGACTTGGGTGCTGACTCCCTTGACACGGTATTCCCTCTTTAAACATGCAATTCTTCTAATTTTGTATCCTTTCTTAATTATTCATCCATGGTGCATGTCCTTTCCTATTTCTTTACATCCCATAATACTGGAGGCCTCGGGTAACTACAAAGGGATAGAGAGATAGAGAGAATATAACCTGATGAAGACAAGAGTACATGTTAACATTGTGTAATTGCTTGACATTTTCACTTCATGAGCTGAGCCATGTATAAACATTGTAAATAACTTCAGGTGGAAATAATGATGGCGTTGGAAGAACAATTCGGCGTGTCAATAGGCGAAGGTGGTGCAGAGAACATTGCAACTGTTCAAGATGCTGCAGATCTCATTGAGAAAGTGAAGGCCGCAGCATGACGGGAAACATTTCCAGGAATCAAGATTATATAAATTGTCATGATGTGGCTATTTCGCATGTGCCAAAGGAAAAACCTAAAATTGTTTTGCAGGGAGCAATTTTTGTTCGGGTCGTCTAAAATTATGAGTTTTTCTTTCCTTCAAAGACAAATAGAAAATCTAATGCGTGCATGATGGAAATGATGTATCATTGAGCATTGGCACGTTTCCTTGATTAATAAAAGAGAAGTACTGCAGTTGTTCTGCAGGTAGCAATTTTTGTTTCAAATTGCTCAACAATCAGTAGCAGTTGTGTATATTCATTGGTTGCAGCCCAATAGTACAGTAATTGCTCTTTCCAACATCATTCATTGGCTGCATAGCATGATGGCGTTCATAAGCTGTTGACCGCCAGATAAATAACAAGTCAATGGGACTAAAGATCCAATTATTTAAAATAAAAATAAAAATAAAAATAAGGGCACATGCACTCTAGAAACATCTCTCTACATTCGAGTTTTAGTTCAATTGAAACTTCCAGGGTAGACAAAGGGCTATTGCAATTCTGAAGCAGATTTTGTATTTCTTCGAAAAGTTCTGACAAGAATATTCAAAACATCTCTAGACATCGACAGCATTATAATGGCAGGATACCATGGAAATGTTCATTAGTTATTGTTGAGAGAGAGAGAGAGAGAGACTGTACGCTTAACTATACAGAAACTTCAATCAAATACGGGGGCAAAATGCATTTGCCTTAGCCTACCAAAGATACTCTAATGCAAAAGCATGCATGTATTTACATGATGGTAAATCAGCTTTGGTGAATCTGTACTTACCACAAACCATATTTATGAACCAGGATCTTATGACATTCCTTTTTTCTAATGAAAGGATGCACCGTTCAAAAAACCTTATGCTGAACATCAAGCACTCAAATCTTCAAAACACCTGAGCCAGTCACAGATGGTTCTGGAGAGGACTTTAGTCTCATTCAATGAGAGAGTTTTAAGGCCTTGAGCAATGGCATCTACAGGAGTGTACACATAACCTGCTTGCCATTTTGGTTCCTAATTAGAGGCAGCAAATAAAATTTTGGTTAGTGATGAATTTTAATGATAAAATGGTTGATCCATCAGGAAGGAAAACCAGAAGGATACAGGATCCTCATGCAACAAAGCATGTCAATACTTCACATGCATGGTGCCAGGAATTAATAGCTACTTATATTTATATGGGTGCAATTGCAACTCTACATCCACTATTAAGGGAAATATTGTTCACAATGGTATCAAGTGTAATATCTCTCGTTTGGTATTTGCATTATGTATCCTAAAGCTTTCTGGCTTGTGGCCTTTCTTGAACACTCGTTACTGCCTTTAAGCATAAAGCAGACTCCAGAAAAATGAACCTCCGCATGAGTCCATAGTAGACAATAGTACAAGATAAGAGATCCACAATCATCACCCACCGGCATTAGAATCAATGTTGTCCAAAAGTAGATGTAATGTAAAGCAGAACTTAAAAGCACAATTGGAGTTTGGACTTGAGCGGAAAAATATCTCTTGGAAAAACTAGTAATGAGATCCTTTTATTTTTACTTGACTGGTGAGTGATGAACAAATTCGATTTTTGTTTCCAGGACAGACAGTTGTTCTCAAGGGACAATCTTTCAAAAATGCAAGCACGAGAAAGGAGTATCAGTGCTCTGGGCACTTTCAGCATGAGAGAAGGCAAAAGTGAAATAGAGGAAGTGTCTGCTAGACAGATCAGCTATTAGAGGATGCCCTATTACATTTCACTCCATGAAGGGATGCCTAACTTGCATATGGTTTTGAACTGTTAAAGAGGAAGAATTTCACAGCATTGGCCTCCAAGCCACAACATTAACCCAAAGATGTGTATTCTTGGTATAAATATACAAGAAACTTCCAACGCTATGGCAATGATTCACAGATTATGTACATGCTGGATGACGAAACACACTGTGCATATAGGCAAATTCATAACTGATGTATGCATAACATACCTGTATGCATGGGGTGATATGGCTGCCACTTAACTGGACCTTTTCTATTGTTCCACCTATGGACTCAACACGAGGTTTCAGGGTCTCTTCAAGGACATCTGTCTCATCAATCGCATCAGAGTTGAACTTCACCTAAGACAGCAGAATATATGTCTTCAATTCTATAATACACCAGAATATAAAGGCTATCCACTTGTATGAATTCTGGAACATCCAGGGCGTCATACATACCAGTAATGTGTGTTGAACATTATACGAGTTCCTGCAACAATCACGGTTTTCAGAGGGTGGTGGCTTGAACTCTGATATCCCTTCTGTGACCTAATAGAAAGGTCGTCAAATAAATGCATGTAGTTAGAATCCACAAAATTACCAGCTTCCATCTTGAGAAAATTGAATTGAATAATTACAACCGTAGAAAAATAAAGATGAATTGATCTACTAATCCACAAAAAATACAGAACTTAAGATAATCAATCCGGGTTTCCAAGTCTTCAACTCCCTAGTATAAAAAGAACAAATCTCTAAGAACCTTAAAAATAAATTCATGTGCACAGACGAGGAGATTTATCAGCACGAATGGTTCGATCAAGGCTCAGTCATTGTTTCAAATTTCAAGTAGAGAGAAACAGAACCATTCTATATGAAATTGGAACTGGATGTTAAATGTGTTCACATAGAAGCTTCTAGTAGATATGAAAGGTACCTGACCAAATACTGATGGCAACTGATCAACAAATTTGGTCAATGAAATTAGGGCTTCTTGTTCACTATCAGGTATAATTGCTCCAGCTGTATCAAGCAGAACCTTCCATGCATCTCCTACTTATGAAACATTGCAGGAAAATTTGTCAAGATAAACTGCATGGAATTCCATAAACTAAAGAAAAAGTGAAGACAATCAAAGTGAGCTAAGACAATTAAAAACCAAAAGAAAAACTTGTATTCTAAAGGTAAACTGGAAAGGAAAAGATTTTAAATTGAAGAGTCAATATGCAATTTACCTGAGGCACTCCTGGCCATCGCATACATTGGAGAAGCTTCGACAACAGGCATCATCTGGTTAACTAGTGGACCTAGCTGTAGAGCAGCATTGAAAACAGGGAGACCCGAATATTTATTAGACAGGAGAAACTTATGATGTGCAAATGCCTCATCTTGAGTGACCAACATGGAAGATTAATGCACTCATAGAACTTAGGGTTAACAACTCCACTTCCTGCCCAAATTCAAAAGGCTTCCATGGAGAGTGTCGAAGAACTTTTTATTGGTTCATATATAACTAGTGACAACATCAGTGTTATCATCAATATAAAACCCTATACTTTTAGAATCAGAAACTGCTAGGAAATCAAACTTTGTTGAGTCCCAAAAAGAAGAATGAACAAACAAAGGCTACAGTCAATCATATCATCAAAGAGAAGAGTTGCTGACTAAATGTCTTTGCAATGCTTTGGTTTGTGTCCCTAATGTCCACATAATTTTACTAAACGCATATTTGGTTTGGGAAGTCCATATGTACTACTTTCCAATCAGTGTAGGAAAGCCTTTTGAAGGTAAAAGGCGTTCCCAACATCACAAATTCATTGCATCTCTATCAAAGCAAAAGGAGCTTCAGGCAAACAAAGAAAACAATAATTAAATATACAGATGCATGCAGAAGCACCATACAGGCACATGTCCATTTGCACACTTGAGGTAACCCTGATCAAGAGACAGACATGAAACCATACAATTCCTGGCATAGAAACTCTAATCGTTTGATTTGCATAACAGTAAAACTAATGAAACAAAACAAGAGGCACGGAGTATTATGAAATGGACAAATTTACCTGCTCAAAATATGGCACCGCCTCTGTAGCAGGCCTGTTGTTGAATGAGATTATGGCATTAGCCTTAGACAAAAGACGACATTCTTCGTCACACTCTATAAAACATTCAAGTTATTTGAAAACTAAAACAAAATCTTATAATCTGCGTTCTGCTTCCACCACTGAAAACCACAGAACTTCCATTTTTCTTCCTGACCATTAGACAAGCAAAACCTTGAAGGTCCAGTAGAATAGAAAAGGGAAACCAAACCTTTGGTATCTTCTCACAGAAATAACTTCCTGTTAGAACTTGGAGAAGTGCCCCATTGCTTCAACATCCATGTAAGACAACAAAACATGTGTGAATTCATTTCTGGGTTGCTAATTAAATTCCAAAAAAATGCTCTTAGAAGGTAACACATTTGCTACTTAAAAGTTGAAGGCAGGTAACACACCTGTGACCAACAGAAAAAAGTGGAAGGCCAACAAGCTCCGAAGCAGTTAAACTATCATGGGGCAATCCAGATTGCAGTAATAAATCCAAGCAAGCATTGAACCTCTCATAGACTTGATTAGCAGCTTTAGAATGATCGAATGTCACGTTGTAAGGCACTAAAATAACAACATAACCATCCTTTGCCAATAGCTCAATCAAATAACTGCAAAATTAAGGAGACAACAACAACAACAACAACAAATCATCTTTGCCAATAGCTCAATCAAATAACTGCAAAATTAAGGAGACAACAACAACAACAACAACAAATCATCTTTGCCAATAGCTCAATCAAATAACTGCAAATTTAAGGAAACAACAACAACAACAAATCATAACATCAAAATCCAAAACAAAAACTAATAAAAGATTGTTCATTGAAAGGATAAGGATCGATTACCTGTAAGTGACTTCAGGGACAGCTCCAATGAAGGCACCACCAAGGAATTTGATGATGGCACGTGGCTTTCTACCTTTAGGTGGAGGTATGACTAAACATGACTCCATCTGCGTGTATTTCTGTCGCTGCTTGTAGTTGGTATTAGTAATAACAGTATTACCATCTCCATATCTAAAGTTGCCGCTGCTTCTACCAACATACCCATTTGAAACCATTCTTGATAAAGAAGAAGATCCCGAAGTTTTAGATCTTCCCGTAGGAACCCATGGATAATAAGGTGGGTTGAGCTTGGTTTTTGATGGGCACCTATGATTATTATTATAATCGGCTGTGAGATTGTATGGAGAAGTGTAGTAAAGTGAAGTGGCCAGTTCCATAACGGTATGTTCTAGGGTGACAATAGTGTTGCTTCTACTCCAAATCTTTTTTCTTGTAATAATAAGCAAACCTGTGCAAATCAATGAATCTAGAAGTAGTGGCAGTAGCGAAAAAGACTATTGTGGCAGAGCATTTTGGGGACAGAAAACGAAAGTTAACATATGATGATGATTCTACCACGATTCTGGCTTGCAATTGCTTGTTCAATTTGGGCCTGGTGCGGCCCATACTTATGTTTTCCCAAAATGGGCCACTGGAGTCCTGAGTTTGATCCTAGATTTTGCTAGATTTCTTATGATAGTAATAGTGTTTGTTTGCTAGTTATTACGCTGGAAAAGAAATGGAAGGAAGCATCTTGTTCATCGGACAACAGAAATGCTGATTCGATTCATTTTTAGATCACCATGAATGACCAACGCATAGGAAAACTTGTTTACATGATTGATCTAGTTGCTCATCATAAGGATAGTGCAGTTCTTGATATTGAGATATATGTCCAGCTTGCTTGTAGACAGGTTTGAGAAAGTGAATTGGGGAAGGTTTCTTGACAGAAATGGGAACACAACAGTTGGGTGGGAAAGGCCATCTCTCTCCCTTGGAAGCTCGTCGCAATACCAAAAGAGCAAAAAGAATAGATGCTTGAGCGTTCATCTCATAGAGGGAAAAAAATATACATTATTTACAACCAGAGCCTGACAACTCGGCCCGCATATAAATGCAGGAGATATTAATGAGCTAACTCACGTCAAAACGAAATAGCAGCACAGCCTCTGAGCTCCGACGTAATGGCAAACTTAGAAACATCGAAAAAACATGGGATACCTCTGTCGATTAGTGTCTCTATAACACATGGATATACACCTAACTTTGCCTTCTGTAGGCAGCTCAGAAGTGAAATGCGTGATATAGATTTCATCAGGTGTGCAAATTGAACAGTTCACAATAACATGCAATCAGTCGATGTTCGTAAAGCAATGCAAGTAGGTCGAGTGAATTAAACAAACAGAGGCTTCATTATCAACTATAATTCTTTAGTGCCAAAGATGTGTGTGAATCATACAACCAGCTCGAAACGGTGTTAAGCACCAAATCAAGGTAAAAGACACTTAATTTTGAACACCCAAAAAAGTCACTTCCAAAAATACAGTGATGGCATAAGACTCCCATCTAAATGTACATGAATTCACCACCACGCACAGCATTTTCAGCACCTTTCCTCTCTTCTGCAGCCTCCTTCTCCCGCTCTTTCCAGCTCTCATATGCATGATCATCAGTTTGCAGCTCATGTCGGCAAATTGGACAAGAATTGTGTTCATCCTGTCACAAAAATTGAATAGCATTAAGAATGGACAGTTTTATCACATCAACTCTAACATAATCATAGAATTTGACATTTTAGCATGCTAATGGGATTTTACCAGCCATGGCTTAAGACAAGGAGGGTGGAATCTGTGCTTGCATGGCAACTCTTGCATTTTGTCATTGACAACCAAATTCTCTTTGCAAATTGCACATTCTGCATCCTTCCCTAGTTCAGCCAAGATCTCCTCCGTGATAGTAATTACTGGAAGCTTTGCAACAACCTCTTTACTGGCAGGAGGCACTCTCGGGGCTGTGGAACCCATTTCCATAATCTAAAAGACAGATATCAAAACAAGATCAACATTAACTCCTCCCAGTAACCAAGCATGATTAGGTAAGATATCAAAGCAGGGTGTAAATCAATTCCTTGAATCAACATTTCTTCTAGGAGCTTCCCTTGTCACTTTTTGAGATTGCAGAGTTCACATTTGTGTAATTTGATAGAAAAACAAAGAAAACAAACTGACTGACTAGGCTTTCAAATTGGAGAATTGGATAAACCAAATTCACAGCACAGAACAACTAAATTCATCACAGAAATGTGCTTCCTTTAGCTACAAAACCAACGCCATGCCAATTAATTTATAGAAATCAACACGAGATCTTTACCTCTGGTATCATATCATCAAGATTGCTCATTAACTCTCCAAGTAGATTGGAAGCGGTCTCTATAGTATTGTTATCCACAGGACGCCCAGAAGATTCAAATTCCTGAAGTGTGGCCATAGAATTCAAGATGTTCGTCTGCACTAGCCACTGGGGCCGTGGTGGTTCAGGATCCACGGTAAGATGCCCCTCGAACAGATACCCTAAAAAATCAACAACCCAATAAATAGCAAGGTCCAATATAAATATATCACGAAGAATATTATAATTTCACTTCAATCAATTTGCGAAATTATTTAGAGTAATTGATTAAAAACATCCAATCGATCAAAAAGATGTATGTTAGGATAGAAGGCTAAACCGCTATTTTGGGAAACATCAGGGGGGTTTTCGATTTGATCCAAGTGTTCTTTAGCTTGAGCAATGCAATTTTTCAAATGCTCCTTCTCGGTGGAATCAGAGGTCAAGAGTAGAGCTTCTTGAAACAATCCTAACCCAGCAAGCCAGAAACCAGGAGCTATGTATCTAGTCTTTAGCACGGTTGCAACTCTACAAACAACAGAATAAAACTGCCGCCGCCGCCGCCGCCACATGAAAAATTAGATTTCGCAATCAATAAATAAATAAAAGGAGAGAGGGAAAAAGAGAGACTGACTGTTTTACGGAGAGAAGGAGAAGCTGAGGGGTAGTGGAGACGGAGGAGGGATTTAAGTGAAGAGAGTGCGTCTTCGAATTTCTGTTTCTTGCACGGTAACACCTCCACAAACAAAAGAAAAAAACTGCCGCCGCCGCCGCCGCCACATGAAAAATTAGATTTCGCAATCAATAAATAAATAAAAGGAGAGAGGGAAAAAGAGAGACTGACTGTTTTACGGAGAGAAGGAGAAGCTGAGGGGTAGTGGAGACGGAGGAGGGATTTAAGTGAAGAGAGTGCGTCTTCGAATTTCTGTTTCTTGCCCAGCTGTTTCTGCAATTCTTCTAATTCTTTTTGCAAAAATTGTTCATCGGACCCCATGATCTCTTTGCTTTGCTTTTCCTACAATTCCCTGGTTTCTGAAATTGTTCTGTGTTTATTAATGTTGGCGTTTTATTTCATTTCATTTTTCTTGTCCAGGACGAAAGGCAACCAGATCTGGATTGGATGACAAGCCATACCTTGTTCGTGCTCCCTGCTGCGTCAATCATGATTTTAGACGACTGTCGTTTAAGGCCATGTGACACGTCATTTGGCCGAACACAAACGACGCCTTCTTATTTTAATTTGCCTACAAGACAACCACCTCACCCTTTCGGTTTGCAAGCCGGGTAAAAAAATATTTAACAAAAAAAAAAAAACATGAGATATTTCTTCAACTGATAATTTAAATAGTATGATTAAAAAAATATAAAATTAATAATAAATAAATTAGCAAAAAACACAAGATAACAACAAAAAAAAAACCAATATAATTCTATTATGATCATATAATAACTTAACGAGGAGCAAAACTGAAAAAAAATATATAAAACAATAACAAAATCTCAATTAAACTAGGTTATCTCACAAACTTCATAATTATAGATACAAGATTAAAATAATTTTATAAAAAAAATATTTAAATAAAAATTATTAATAATTAAATGAGAATATAATAATTTTATGTAAAACAAAAAAAAATCTAAAGCTCATTCTCTTGCTAGAAAACATGTTAAAGGAAGAAAATTAAGAAAAATGTAAAACAATGTAAAAGAAAACCTCGATCCAAGCCCACCCAGGTCAAAATCTCTTAACCGGTTGTGATACCAAGATGACCATATTCAAAAATAAATTAAAAAAATATAAATTTTAATTGTTGAATAAATCAATGTTAAAAGACATAAACAAAAAAAATTAATTTAATTTAAACAGCAATTGAAAAAATAGCAGTTAACCCATGAACATGTAATCATGGTCATAGAATTAAGATAATCCAATAGAAAGAAAAAATGCAAATATCAATTGGTCATAGAATTAAGATAATCCAATAGAAAAAAAAAATACAAATATCAATTTACAATAAATCAAATATTAAATGATGAAATTAAAATAAATTAATTTAAAAAAAAATCAATTCGCATGAACTTTTCAAACCTGTAATTATAATCATGAATTTGAGATTAATTTAATGGAAAAAATCCGAGTCAATTAGGATTAACCCACAAACCCTATAATCATAAACATAAAATCAGAATAACTTAATAGAATAGGAAATAAAAAAAAATATAAAAGGACCAGTTTCAAATAAATTAAATATTTAAGGATAAAATTAAGATAAATTATTTAAAAAAATAATCTGAAAAATAAAAGTTGACTTATATTAACCTTTCAAATCGATGATTCTAGTCATGAACTAGAGACCGATCTTGTAGAAGGCAAACTATAAAAAATAATAAAGCAAGACTCTAAAAAAAGATAAAAAATATTAGCTTTAAAAAAAAAACATCAAGCCAATCTAGGGCAAACCTCGTTAAATTCTTGACTCGGATTCAATTAAGAAGTTTAATTTCTAATTAATTTAATTATAAAGAATAAAATTGTTTAAAAAAATCAATTTTAAAAACTTGTCAAAGAAAAAATAGCAATAAAAAAAATATGAATCAAGTTTGATAAAAAAAAAACCACGAGAGGGATGAAATTGTAAAATAAAATCTAAAAAATAATCTAAAACAAAATAAATAGAATTAAAAAATAAAAATCGAATTTGAAAGATTAAAAAATGAAAGGGGATGAAATTTTAAAAAAGATATAATTTTATAGTTTATTGAAAAAAATAGTAATCAAAACAATAATGATTAAATTTAAAATATTTAAAAACAAAAAAAAGATGAAATTGAAATTTTTTTTGTAATTGTATAGCTTCTTCACAATAAAATAAAAATAGTACTGAAAAATATAGAATCAAAATGTAAATAAAAATGAAATTGAAGGAGATTGTCTAAAATTTTGAAGGGATTAACAATAAATTTAATTAAAAATAAATAAAAGAAAAAAAAGAAAAGATGATTGTTAGCATCAAACTAGTTTCCAAACATTTCCCTGAAAAGTAATGTTTGATAACTATTCGACCCTATATACATTGCTTGAAAAGTGTGAGAGTTGTCCACGTCTACATGCCATATATTTTTAAAAAATAATATTTAATATATATGAATTATAAAAATAATAATCTTAAA